TTCAAGTACTAGAGTAGATTTGGTAAATAAAATATAAGAATTTCAAAACCATGGTAATCGTTAATGTAATTAAAATAATCACATTTATTTCTAGAAAATCACATGAAATCGAATCCGACTTGGAATAAAATCAAACTATACATATACACGGTACATGTTCATTTAATGAAATACTAGCATTTCGTTGTTGTAAAGGATTTGCCAGTTTTATTCACCATTGAGGGCATCATGACAACAAATCAGCAATACAATAAGCGTAAAGTGACTACTTGGGCGGAAACGTAATGCGTATTTAGTTGCAAAGTTTACCAAAGCTGTTAATATTTCCTTTTCATACTCATTTTCAATGGACTTTTTTCCCGGCACACAGTAATCTGTATAAAACACTAGACCTATGAAAAACATGTAGAAAGATATATTTTACTATAGGAATAGGTTTACAAATTTAGGAAAATGTCTATTTTACCTTCCTTTATATTTTACCAAAAATGATGATTGATCGCATGAAGTATTGTATATGTATTCAAAAAGGTACAAAACTAGATGAATCTGGACAACTTAAATATATATAGGTTATAAGTTATTCAGATATGAAAGGAATGTGTCAATATTCGTGTTTCAGAGTTATTTTAGAGTCATACAAAATTTTGGCGCCTTATTCCGCAAAAAAGGAAAGGACACAAACTGCATTTCTTCTTTTTTTCCTAAGTCTATACTCACTGAAAATCTTTTTAAAAATAATTTTAGCCCTTTAGGCAAAATCAGGAAATAGTCGATATTTCACTGAAGGAAATGATACTATCTGTACTATATTCTGCTTGCTCCAAATATTTTTCTTCATTTCATCTAGGAATGGAATAATGGTCTTTCATTGAGCTCAAAAGCGGACTTGTATCTTTTGTTTGTTATATCACAATGTTTGCTTCATACATGTACAGTGAGAAAAGACCACATAAGAGGGGGAGGGGGCATATAATTTTTTTAAGTTTGACTTGGGACATTAAAACAACGAAATCTGCTTTATTTGATAAATCTGACAAGTCAGTGTACAACAAAAAGTTTGATCGAATTGATCATTATACAGAAGATATGTTTATTACTATTATTTGTATTGTTTTATGGACCTTTGATCTTGAATACTGTTCGTTATCTCCATATGTTTCATAGCAACTATTGACAATGACAGGTGTTGGTAAAACACGTGTAAATATACCGTACCTGTTACAATTTCGTGATAGATATATATTCCTATATGTATAATGTGCATATATGTAAATTTATGTAGAAATGAATTTACATTATTGCAATATTCATTTCTTTGCACTTTGACGTATATGAGAAAATGAAAAAAAAAATAATGATATGGGAGATTGTGCCCTTTGATGAAGTACAAGGGTTAATAACGACGCTGTTCGGAGAATTGTCCTATACATCCTTCTATGTCTGGAAATGAATTAATAAATGATAAAAAACATTGTAGTAGACAGTACATTAGATCTGATAATAAGTTCCAGTGAATTTGAAAATTTTAATGTCCTATATTTCAGCACCTCATCTGTAATTTTTGATTATCATATGTTGCAAATAGAATCTGCAGAACCAAAAAATAATGTAGTTGTGCCAAAAATACTTTTTCATCCTATACAACATATATCTAAATTCTTAAGTTGTAATATCCCTCTCTGATAGGAGAAATAAGTTTCTTATTAGATGGGTATGAGAGTAAATATTATTTTCATATAAATTTTCTTCACATCATTATTATGTTCCCCAAACGAAGTTGGGGAACATATTGTTTTTACTCTGTTTCTTATTATTATTAAGGTCTTCCGTCTTCACGGAAGACCTAATAGTGATTCTACTGTTTCTTATTATTATTCTTATTATTATTCTTTTTTTTGACAAAATTTTGTGCAGGCGATTTCTCGAAAACTATTCAGCGGTTTTTCATAAAACTTTCACAAAATATGTGTCATTATATGAAGTTGTTACATCCGAAGAGAAATTTGGAAAATTCTCTTCTGGTGCCAAGTTATGGACAATTTCCTGATTTTAAAATGCAATTTTGTCGCCCCTTTTTCTCAAAAATAGCTAAGTATATGAAATGGAGACTTATTGGAGATGATAGATCATGACTTTGTGGTTTGCAGAATCACTTTTTCGTGCGTCGTCAATACTTCCGGTCGTTACGAGATGCAAATTAAAAAATATCGTATTTTCTAACTTTTTTGTTTTTCAATATTTTTCATTTATTTTTTGTATGTTAATAGAAACCCTTCTTATGATGCTTACTTTATAATTTGTTTGAATATTCATTAATCCAAACTCCAGATAAAAGCATTCAAAAATCTGAAGCGGGTCCAAAATGGCGGCTGTCTCCGGTATTTCGCAATCGGGGTTTACGAAGGCAGCCGAGCGTTTGCTTGAACGAAGGTATCATAAGGATAAATGAAATGTAAAGGAATTCTTGGATTAACACCTCGTAGAAACGTCGCAATTCTGTTTCAAACTAACATATCTTCTATAATGGGTTTTCGCTGGATCTCAAAGTAAAAAAAAAAGAAGAGACTAAATAATATTATGCAAATGAAATTCGATGCTTAATATCTTGTGCACGACGGAAAAACAGATCTTAAATCATAGTTATAAGTAATACTCTCTCAGAAAGAATATCAATGAAATTGTAAGTACAAAAATTAACCACTGACTTTCCGATGCACATTCGTGTCATATTAAACTAATAGAAATGACAAAAATAAAAGAACCATTTTTTGACAGATCGTTTCATGGAGTTTATATCAGTATTCTTGTCTCAAAGAGCTGATTCAAGTTATTGAGCATAAATGGTATCCAATTCCCTGACCGTCGTAAGGCGAGCATTTTTTTCGGCGAAACAGTTAAACCTTTTCATGAAAGTTTTACTAATCGGGAGAGTTCACTTTGGGGATAAACAGGGAATTTTAAAAAAGTTAAAAATCCATAGGTGTTTCACCGCTTTAGTGTCACTTGCTTACAAACGATATGGAATATGTAAAATGTGTTTAATATACCGGGTACTTTCTTATCCTCGAATTTTAGGCTATAAGAACATATTTTTTATTTCATTGAAGCTATCACACCTATTTAATAGAACATTCCAAAGAAAAGGCGCTATGATTAAATCGTAGCGTTTGGCGCGAAATTATGAATAGTGACTCGCCTTTCATAATTCTAAGACAAAAAGCACTGTTATACAGAGGTATATACAAGAAGATTCAGAGCAGAGGTCCCAATACTGTAATATTTAGCTCGTTGGATTTTCATGCTGGCAACTCAATCCCTCTTGTGTGCAATTTTTGTTTACTTTTTCAGGTCGATTTTACGCTTTCTTACCGGAATCGGACGGAAGACCTCTCGTTGCTCGCAACGAGTTTCTCATCTAGTTATTCTTATTATTTTTCTTCCTGGGAAAATTTTGTCCGCGAGTGATCTTGTAAACTACACATCCGACTTAGGTGAAACCTTTTTAGGGTAAGTAGGCATGTTATGTAGATTTGCGGAATCAAGGTCATTTTGCGCGCACGTGCTTGCAACAGCGCGCACGTGCAAAACTTCAAATGACCAATATAAAATGGATATAACCGTAACTTTTCTATTTTGTGACGAAATGTTTTGAAACTTATAATGTAAGGATATATTAGTAGTAAGCACAAGATGACATAGTCAAAATAGCAAGATCGCACGCGCATGCACGTGCGCTTAGCTCTGATTGGCTGAAACTAAAGTCTCAATATCTTTTTTGTTTTTTGATAAAATCATTTGAAATTTTGAACATAGTCATATATTAGGGAGATCTACAGCCTGTATTATAAGATTTATCATGAAAGCATGTGCATGCACATGTGCTTGCAAGAGCTCGCACGTGCAACACGAGAAATGTCCAATATAATTGATACAGACGAAACTATTTAAATTATTGATGAAATGCTTTGAAACTCATATTATAAGTATATATTGGAAGCATAGACAAAATGACATGGTCATAAAAGTAAGATCTCACGCGCATGCACGTGCGCTTCGCTCTGATTGGCTGAAAGTAAAGTCTCAATATCTTTCTTGTTTCTTGTCATAATCCTTTGAAATTTTGAACATAGACCTACATAATGAAGATCTACAGCATGATGTATAAGAATTTTCATGAAAGCATGCGTATGTACGTGTGCTGCAATCTGATTGGCTGAAACTTTAAATGGCTATATCTCCTTTGTTTTTTGACGAAATGCTTTGAAATTTAAAACATAGTCATGCATTAGGATATCCTACAATATGATATAGAAAACAAATCATGAAATCACGTGCATGCACGTGCGCTGCAATCTGATTGGCTTAAACTTGAAATGGCTAAAACTCCCTTGTTTTTCAACCAAACAGGATGGGATTTAGAACATAGAAAGATATAAGGGACTCCTACAAGAAGGTATGGTCATCATGCACGTGCACGCACGTGCGTGCATTTGGAACGAGTGTAATAAAAAAACATTTGAGAGTGATTTTTCATACTTTTGGACCGAATGCTTTAATATATTGTATATTTAAATATGTAGATAGTGTAGACAAGATGATATGATTATAACGCACATGCATTAACATGTGCATTTGAATATAATTGGTATCCTTCTGTGAAAACGTTGTTAAAGTCAAAAATGCACAGAGTTTGTCTTATTTAATTAAGGTTACAGGGAATATGGCACAAAAAAAGGAGTTGGGGAGCGTTTGGGGAACATCTGTAACGGTTCCCGTTACAATTAGCACTAGTTTGACATATTATTCACTTCTGAAAAAGTAAGCTACGCTTTATACTTCAAACTATTTTCCATTTGAATCTAATGCTATTGTTATTGATGAAAATCAATGTTTGGAATTTAAAAAAAAAGGCTAAATTTGAAGCAGAGGGATATTTTCCATTAATTGTGCTAAGCTCCAGATTTTTTAAAGAAAACAAATCAACAAATTCAACAAAAAACAAAAAACAAAATTTATTTATTTCATTTATATAAATATAATCGGGACACTATGAACAACTTGTAAAAGGCAACATGTTTCAATCCAAGATGGCAACCTAGAATTGAAAAAAAACTATTATAAATTGCCGTCAAGTAAACAAAACTAATTAAATTTATAACTGTATCAAATAAGTAGTAAGACAACAAAATATCAAGAATATAATAGATTGATTACAGGAAAAGGCTTTAATAATATTTGAGAATTTTTTTAATTGCTGAAAGATTTAGGTAAGTATGCCTTAATTCATATAAGAGGACAGAAGCAGACGCATTTTTGAAATGAATATCTAATTTCTGAAGGATAATACATATATTAAAATTTAAACACCGTTATAGAATTGCCAAGCATAACATCGGGCAAAACAATAAGAAATATACAAAATAGAAAAAAATAGATAATCGAAAACAAACCAGCAAACAAAATTCAAGAAAGTTTGCATTCCACATGATATGTTACTTACCTGACTTATATTGTAATTAGTCGAAAACTTCATCATAAAACTCCTTCAAGAAGTATGCCCGTGGGTTAAACCCTGGAAAATATCCTCTCTGTTGCTGCCAGGGGTTACCACCATACCAGGAGGGCACGTAATAGGCTGTATTAGAAATTAAAATACCCCGGTAATAAAATGCTTTCTTAGGTTGTTAGTATAGGAATTAATGTAGCTAATCAGCTATTGCAGAGAAAAATACATAACCCGCGTAAGCGGGTTAGTATATTTTTCTGCATAGCTGTGATATGGATTCCCGTACTAACAAACAAGGAAAGCATTTTATTGTTAACATTTACATCTGTGTTAAAAATCATTCAAAGTAAAATTAAATTTGTTAACTATTGTTTTTAGATGAATATGTCATTGTATGTAGAACTGATGGAACAGTCATTGTTCAAGAAAACTTCGCACGTGACTTGTTCAGTGTTGTTCATGCACTGGTTAACGGCAATGGTCTTCATAAGTAATGAAGGAAAAAAAAATAGTCAGTGGATGTAAATATAAAACCATGATCACGCACGCTTAAGTCATGCTTTCAGCGCATAAAAAATTCAATAGATCATGTAAACAGATTTTAATATTTAAACACTAACGTTATGGTACTGCTGTGAATTATTTGGTAATTAACATTTCAAAAATTGATATCATCTAAGAATATCATAATTTTTGAGATAAAACACAGTGTTATTTTCTGGCTATATACAAATTAAAATATTTTTTTCTCAATAAAATAAATACTAATATATGAAAAATAAAACCTTTTCTGACTAACGAACAACACTAAATTATGTTGCAAAGAATAAACATGTTATACCCTAAGTGTCCCTGATGCATGAATTACTATAGATAATGAAGAGAAATCCTTATCTGCTTACCTGATATTACTTCAACTGAAAATAAAAGAAGAAATAATTTATCATTTTGTCCAATCAAATTAAATGGAAGAACTCCTGCATGTAAATTACGTTTATTAGCATGATGGTTAAAAAAAACAACACATGAATAGAATATTTATTGGAATAATTATGATATGGAATAATTTATTTGAAAAATGTTTCACAGAAAAAGCAATTTATAAAACCTATTTTGTATATCACTAAAACAAGTCTCTCACTTTTTATTGAATGTTAACGTCATCTTTTCATTTTCTATTTGTTTAACTCATAATTTATACCTAAGTATTCAGCAATCAATATTTATATTCTCCATGTATTACATGAATCATATTTTGGAATTTATTGTGGTCGCCTATATTAAAGAAAATACATAATTAACATTGTTTACATTAGACATTTTTAAGGTTTTACATTGTTCAAATCAAAACTTGTGTTTAATTTATTCACACTGTTATTAAACGTTGAGAAAAGCCATAAGAAAAGTCGTTGTGCTGAAGTTTAAATTAGGGATTTACTAATTACACAGTGTATCACATTAACACAAATTAATACTTATTTGATGCCAAACTTTCCCCTCATGCAGACAAGTAACAAATAAGCTGTCTTAATATGACACTTTCAGAAACAAAAGGTCCTACTTGAGTGAATAATCAACATGCGGTTTAAAATTTATTTCTACTTTCTGGACTTATTGCCTTGTGTATGCAAACATTTTACAGAAAAAAAAATATCTTCATTAAACATTTATAATATAATAATAATTATTTGTTCATTGAAACGAAATGAAAAATGAGAGGGAGGATGATTAAATAATTGTCTTATTTTCGTTGTTGTTTTCGTCCTATTCTAAATAAGAAGTAGAGTTGATTCTTTGTTGCTTTCACTGTACCTTTAACAGCATATCAAATTATTTCAAAGTTTTTCACTCTAGTAGTTAAAAAAAATATATTTCTTTTGGTATACATGGCATCATATTCATTTTCAAAAGTTTAGGCCAAAGTGACACAGCATAGGATTGAATCATTTACGAAGGATGAAGTTAGAATTTAACAAAAAGAAGTTTGCTCCTTAATGATAAGTTTTGAATTTTGATAGAAGAAAACACATACCAATAATCAGAAAAAGTAAGCAAATTAACAAATCCTTCATTTTGATGATCAGTCACAAAAGTATCAGCTATATGTAAGTCCAATATGATACCCTCCTCTTTATCTGTATAGAATGAAATTTCAGAATCCTCTTTATATATTGACAGAATCAATACGTCACACATTTATAAATTCCAGTCATACACCACTTGGTGTCACTGTTCGTGAAAATATTATTTTCTTGGTCAGAATCATAAATTTCAAAACATGAATAATTATGCAAGTGTTACCTATTTATTTCGTCATAAGTCAGAAAAGGCATGCCATATGATTTTCCTTTACACATCCTTCAGAATTTGAGACAAATTGCATTTCTACACCGAAAGTAAGATTGATGGATATCTTTTAATTGATAAACATTTATATAACTATAAAAAGAAACATGATATAGATACACGCCTATATTATACAACAATTTCTTTAAGAATCCTATGGATGAATAATATATTGATTGATTTGATCGTACATTTAGATATGCAGTCATAAGTCAATTTTTATGTGAGAGGTTGAATAAAGATTATTTGTCTAACGATTGCTTTATAATTGGATTGTGTAAGCTTTCATTCTTATGAAAAACCTCAAGCACTGTGTTTTTCATTTGTCGAGGCAGTAGAAATTGGGTTACAGTCCATAAAACAATCAAAAGAAATAAGGAATTTATATTTTATTTTTCTTTTAATTTTCACATTTTACTTTAAAAGAAATGAAACTTTTAAGCTTATTTTGCTTTTTTTAACTGATTTTATGCTTTGTTTGAAATCATATAAAAGAAAAAAAAATCTGACAGAACATAACAATAAAGAAAGCGAATACATTTCAAATGCTTTCAGATAGACTTTTAAAACAGTCAATGATTAAACTAAAGTATAAAGACACGGTTTTCTGGCCCCGAGTGCCTAATAGTCTGGTCCTGATTTTTAAAAAGAAGGCTAGATATAACTTCTAACGGCAAATAATTATTATTTGGTCCAGCATAGTTTTCTAACCTATTTCGAGTATGCTGAATCCGAAAAAAATATGCTGGCCTTCATGAAAATGGCGTTAAAGAGGTCAAAATGGCGATTCAAAATAGCGGACATCCAATTTTTCTAATTTTCTCTTAATGTCGTTCAAAATGGAGAAGTAATGAGTGAACATCTAACTGAGTGTAATAAAACTATAAAAATTATAATACAAAGCTAACATTATTAGTTTAACTTTAGTCGTATCAACACTTAATTCGAATTTTCTCTGATTTATTTGTCTATTGTTTCTATATTCTTCTTTGTTCGGGATTTTACATTAGCAAATATTCATAAACTGCAGATTTGTATTTTGTCCTCTACATCTCACTATTCTACAGTTGAATGATGGTGCAGCTGTAAGTTAAAAGTCAAAATGTCGATTGAAGATGGCGGATATTTTTCTTTTCAAATTATTTCTTAATGTCGTTTACATGGGAGAAAGGAATTGTGAATGTCTTACTGAGCTTAGTACAGCTGTGTAAAATGACAATAGAACACTAATATGATCACTTTAAGTCGGAAAATTAAGTTGTTTAAATTTAAAATGTGTTAATTAGCTCAATATGGCAATTCAAATGACGACATATTCACTCAAATTTCGTAAATACCCAAACTTCTTATGTCTGATTTGTTTTGCAGAGAATAGATTATTGTTTAAATTTTTTTTTTTAATGAAATCAAATATACAATGAAAGTTGGAGGATATTTTTGTTGATAACTTAAGATTTTTATAACGCGGATTTTTGTTTAATTGATTCTATTATTAAGATCAAATTTTTGACGACAATTCCGAAGACATTTTACCTATTACCTGTCTCACCATGCTTCTCATATAAAAAGTTAATAATATCATACAATAATTTCTATTGAAATACGACCACTATTGATATAATTATTTCAATAGTGGTTGAGAGTACATTTCAATAGCAAACATAGTATGCAACCACTGTTGAAATATGGCCACTATTGAAATTATTCTTTCAATAGCGGTTGAGAGTGCATTTCAATAGCAAACATAATATGCAACCACTATTGAAATATGGCCACTATTGAAATAATTCTTTCAATAGCGGTTGAGAGTGCATTTCAATAGCAAACATAGTATGCAACCACCATTGAAATATGGCCACTATTGAAATAATTCTTTCAATAGCGGTTGAGAGTGCATTTCAATAGCAAACATAGTATGCAACCACTATTGAAATATGGCCACTATTGAAATAATACTTTCAATAGCGGTTGAGAGTGCATTTCAATAGCAAACATAGTATGCAACCACTATTGAAATATGGCCACTATTGAAATAATTCTTTCAATAGCGGTTGAGAGTGCATTTCAATAGCAAACATAGTATGCAACCACCATTGAAATATGGCCACTATTGAAATAATTCTTTCAATAGCGGTTGAGAGTGCATTTCAATAGCAAACATAGTATGCAACCACTATTGAAATATGGCCACTATTGAAATAATACTTTCAATAGCGGTTGAGAGTGCATTTCAATAGCAAACATAGTATGCAACCACTATTGAAATATGGCAACTATTGAAATAATTCTTTCAATAGCGGTTGAGAGTACATTTCAAAAGCATTTACATAGTTCGTAACTACTATTGAAATACGACCACTATTGAAATAATTATATCAATAGTGGTTGAGTATGCATTTTAAAAGCAAACATAGTTAGTAATCACTGTTGAAATACGACCACTATTGAAATAATTATTTAATAGTGGGGAAGAGTGCATTTCAATATGATAACCATAGGTTTCAACCACTATTGAAATACGACCAGCATTGAAAAAAAAGTTTCACTGCGTAATTTTTAAGTTTTTATCGTAATTTTTAAGTTTTTATCCAAAATTTCACAAAAATTGGATTCGGAGTGAAAAATATATAGATTAATAATTAAAGTGTATAATTAATAAATGAAGATTAAGATAGTTATTGAAATAGTTATTGAAATAATTTCAAAAGTGATTTAATTAATCATTTTGATAGTTACTGATAATAATTCAAAACTAAAACCATTACTGTAAACTAACTTTTATTCGCGACGACTTTATTTCGCTATTTACCGGAAGTTCACTCCTTCCCGACGATTAATTTTCGCGATCAAGCCGTTTTTGGAAGTGTTTTAATACAAAAAGAGACTTTGAGGACCCGTTCGCGGCGAGAAATATTCGCGATGACGAGGATCTCGCAAACATCGCGAAAATTTCTCGCACGCGAATAAAAGTTGGTTTACAGTATTTAATCAATATGCATATTGAAATCTTTATTTCAAAAGTGAAAATTATTTCAATAGTGGTTGCAACGTATGTTTGTTATTGAAATGAATTTCACCCACAATTCAAATAATTATTGCAAGAGTGTTCGTATTTCAATAGTGGTTATTACCTATGTTTGTTATTGAAATACTATCTCAACCACTATTAATATAATTATTTCAATAGTGGTCGTATTTCAATAGTGGTTACTAACTATGTTTGCTATTGAAATGCACTCTCAAACACTATTGAAAGAATTATTTCAATAGTGGCCATATTTCAATAGTGGTTGCATACTATGTTTGCTATTGAAATTCACTCTCAACCACTATTGATATAATTATTTCAATAGTGGTCGTTATTTCAATAGTGGTTGCAACACCCCCCGTTTTAAAAGCGGGAGGGTATATAGTAATCGGTATGTCCGTCCGTCCGTCTGTTACGCTTTGGGGTACCGATCTCTTATCCACAATTCCTCTCATACCCCCGAATGAAATTTGATGAAACTTTCACAGAATCTTTATAACATATTGCCATTGTGCATCTATTATTTTACTTATTGATCTGACACATATTTTGGATTTCCCAAAGCAGAACATGGACACTGTCATTATATTCATATTGAAGACGGGGGTATCATTTAGTGAGCTAATTTCTCACAGTACCTCTAAGACATTTTGCATAAGGTTTTGGAAAACAAAATACACTTTTAACATTGGAACATAAATATGTTGTTCTTGAGGGTTAATTGATTGTATATTGATTAATACCGAGTCGGCAATTTTGCAGCCATGTTTCGGCGAACTATCAGTTTAAATAATTGGTTTATGAAGGATTTTGGTTTCTCTGGTGGCCCCTAGTGAGCTTACTCTTTTTTGAGCTCCAGAGAAACGATCTTTTACGTGCCAAGGGGAATGTCATCCTTGACACGGGGCATCATTTTACTTGAGTGTTTAAAATACCAAAATCCCAAAGACAGACTGAAACATATAGCAAATAAACCTGGAATAGATGTTAGGGGATAATAATTGTAAGTTCTTATAAGTGCTAATTTCAAAAGCTAGTACAAAGTGTTCGATGAAATCGGACAAGAATTTCTTCAGTTATATTTGATGGTGTGCTGAGGGATGTTAAAGTAGAAGTGCGAGTTTATAATGACAGCGATTCAGGAGTGATTTTAGGTGGACGGGAGCTCAAAGGCTTTGGAACACGGTCAAATACGAGGGGGAAAATTTGGAAACTCTGAAGTGGAGTTTGTTTTAACTATTTCCAAAAAGAATGAATCATTTGTAGTATTTTTTGTTCATATTTAATGGACTAATCAATATACTATATATAGTATATATATATATTAAAAAACAAACAAATCGTTATTTATTTTTTGCAAGAACGACTCAGAATTAAGCAATTTGAGTATTTTTACGAAATTCGAGTGAATATGACGTAATTTTGAATCGCCATTTTGAGCTAATTAACACATTTTAAATTTAAACAACTAAATTTTCCGAATTAAAGTGAAAATATTAGTGTTCTATTGGCATTTTTATTAGTTGTAGTTGTACTACGCTCAGTAAGATATTCATAATTTTTTTTTTCTCCCATGTAAACGACGTTAAGAAATAATTTGAAAAAAAAAATGATAATCCGCCATTTTGAATCGCCATTTTGACTTTTTCACTTACAGGTGCACCATCATTCAATTGTAGAACAGTGAGATGCAGAGGAAAAATACAAATCTGCAGTGTGTAGATGTTTGCATAGAATATAGAAACAAAAGACAAATAAATCAGAGAAAATTCGAATTAAGTGTCAATTTTCTGAATTAAACTTATAA